AGAGAGAGAGAGAGAGAGAGAGAGAGAGAGAGAGAGAGAGAGAGAGAGAGACAGAGACAGAGACAGAGACAGAGAGACAGAGAGAGAAAATAGTTAGGCAGGCTTAAAACTATTGTATCATAAGTATAATTTACCCATTCTGTCCGAAATGTGTATAGCGAATATAACTGTTTTTCGATCCTTTTTTATGTCATTCACCATGTGGAAGAACTCTTATTGTCTTGCCTTATAGTAGTTCACACGCGTAGTTTGCATATTATACGTGCCAAACTATAATAGTATGTATTTTATTATCACTAATGATGTCATGCTGTATGTTAATGTGACATAAATGTTCTCCGCACCTCTTATCCCTGACCTTGCGAAAGAACGAGAGTTGTGATTAGATGAAAGAGGGACGTGTTATTATCAGGTTCATGTTGAAAGTAGATAGGCTCAACAGTGTCGATAGGAGTGTTAAACAGTTATAATTGTAGTTTTTAAAATCTATTAAAATGAAAGAAAAAAGTACATATCTGAAGGACAACTATTAGCACATGTCAGACAAGAGATGGTTTACCGTGCTTTTGAACTGTGTTTCAAAGTACTGTGGATTTCCCTTCGTAAATTTAACACTAGTCTGATCCTTGTCGTATATGTAACGCAACGGCATCTGTTAATAATAAAAGGCCATCTTAGAATGACGCAGTCTTGTCTGTTCTGAGGATGTAGCCACTCTGTCAATTCGTCTATCGGTCGTTCAGTCAGTCAGTCAGTCAGTCAGTCAGTCAGTCAGTCTGTCAGTCAGTCAGTCAGTCAGTCGGTCAATCAGTCAGTCAGTCAGTCAGTCAGTCAGTCAGTCAGTCAGTAACCATGGCAACCTGGCTTGCTTATCCCTCCAGATGTAGACCAATGGTCAGCGGCTCCAGCACACTATGACCTTGTCTCTCACCCAGGCCACGCCTCCCGACACACCCACCACCACCACCCCAGCCAATCACCATCAGTCAGACCTAGACCGCCAGCCCCAGCCCCTGTCACTCCCAGTTCCCCTTCCCGCCCTGGTCCATCCCTAAACACCCAGCCCCCTCCGCTTCCCCTACAACCCCCTCAACCCACCCTCCGCCCCATCAAACCGCCTTCCCCGACTGGAAACGTGTACAAACCTTTCCCCGATCAACCGCCTGCCCCTACGGCTCAGGCTTCTTCTTCGTCTTCTTCTTCTCACCCCATCTCCCCGAAAATGAAGCATAAACTCATTTTACCCCCTCCCGAGGCAAGAAACCGCCATCTACAACAACACCAACAGCAACAACACCATCAACAACAACAACAACAACAACAACCACAGAGACATATACAACAGCAAATGCAGCAACCGTACCGTGCTGTTTTTAACCCGTCTAGCCAGCCGCCTCCCATGTCACCCCCGGGTTACTCGGACCCGATCCCAATGCAAAAGTTTATGGATAGCCTGCCTTCAGAACCGCCGGTACGTGAACCGTCTATAAAAGAGCGGTATGAAAATTATCAAAGACGCCATTCTCCCGGTCAAAAAGCCGGACCCCCTCAGCCACTGCAGAGGGGCTACCCGCCTCCCCATCAGCAGAGGCAGCCTATGTCGCCACCCCAACGCCGTTATCAGCCGCCATACAGCCAGCAACAGCAGCAACAGCAACAACAACAGCAACACCCATATCCTCCACAACAGTCGCCATTCTCACCCACACAACACCACCCGCCATATTCTCCACAACAGCCACCGTTTTCTCCACACCACCACCCTCTACAACAAGGTAGAGGGGGAAGACAACATCAGTCACAACAGCAACAACAACAACAACACCCGCCTCGTAGAATGTCGGAACCCCACCAGTCCCCTCCTCCCCCCTTCTCCGGTGGCGGCGGTCGGCCACAACCGCCGTCCTCCACCACCAACCCTAACACCAACCCCTTGCAGAACCGCAACATCTACCGCCCCACCGCAATCAGCGATGTCCTACGTCACGGCTCCCCTACCCCGTCCCTCCCTGGGGACATCCACCTACGCAACAAACAACCCTCCCCGACCCCTTCTGTGACCTCCACCTCCAGCGAGTATGTGGTCAGTGGGGGGCGTGGCCGACCCAGCAAGTCCAGGGGCATGAACCTGTTCCTCAAGCAACAGGAAAGACTGGCCGCTATGGGCGCCGATGTCCAAGGTAGCACCACAAGCAGGAGGGCTTGGTCCGTATGCTCGGACGCTCTTTCCCTCCAAACTCCACTCATCTTTCTCTGGCCATTATACCTTAAAGTCATGAGGTCTAAATAATTAATTATTTATACGTTAATTAAGAGGCTGTTAACGGTACCAAAATATATTTTAACCCCCCCCTCCCCACCCAGCCGCCACCCTTTGTTTTTCTAACGCTCTTTTTACACGTACTAGTGTCTATATAATATATGATATTAAATTGACTCACTGCTATATACATTGCCACCAGCTGTGATAAAGCTGCTCTTTTCCTACCACAGTAGATGTCAACTGAGAATTAAAACAACGAAGTAAATGATTTTGACTGTCTGTGGCCTATTACTGAATCCAACTTTACCCAACTGTAATGTTGCAGGGCATTTAATTTGTTTTTGTTTTCGTTTTTTCCCCTGCTAGTTGGAGCTTTCATTTGGAGAAAGGGGTTGGGGTGGGTCTATGAATTATTCTGGTACCAGTGTTCTATGCCTCAGAGTAATTTGTACCTCTAGACTTGATGAAGGTATGCTTCTCGGCTTTCTCTCTCGAATGATTCTCCTCAACCTCCCAGCATGAGAGTTGTGTCGTGTCGTGGAGGAGTCTCTGCCCCCCCCCCCTGTTTCTCATTACGTACTTCTCTGGCTGACACTTTTGGAATGGAGTTCCAAGCATGAGAGCTTTCACCTCGGAAACCCCTCCCCTTCCGAGACAACCCCCCCCCCGCCCTCAAACCAGTTCCACTGTTTTGTCACGTGTGTGTCGTGGCGTGGAGATGCCCGCTGCCTGCAGTGTTGAGCATGACTGATTCAGTTCAATGACTTGACCAATGTGCGTAATAATGTGTGTGCAATATTTGGAACTTTCTTTTATCAACGTGCGCAGGTAAAGTTGGTTGTGGCCAAAGGATCATTATTCCACCATGTTTCATGTGGTCTCCTTGTATACAAAAAGAGATAATATTTTAACCATCTCTTTGAGCAGATTCATAAAGCAGGATGTTAACGCATTTACATTCTGCCAGTGATTATTGGTTTACAAAAACTCTTATAATTTGTTTTGGAGTTATGAAATGTTGATGAAAATAAGTCGTATAAGACTTCCTAGTTTTAGCCTGGATTTTTACTGTTCTTTCAATGTTATTAAATCTGTAAATATCTGAAAAGCTGACGTAGTCATTAGCTGATAGGGCCAAAAGTGGACACACATCCATCGTTCTAACTGCATGTTCGCCCACAAGCACGCTGCTGAAATGAGCCGAATGCATAATTTAGTTCAAGCCATATTTTCCTAGAAATATTTTTCTAGCTCATTTGTTTTGTTTTTTGTTGTTTTTTTTTTTTTCAAATGACTTGACTTACAGCATGTGTTTTATGATAAAGCTATGTCATCAGAAATTGTAATACATTGATGTCAATATTTTTTGTTTGTTTTGTTATATTCATGCTTGGTCACGTAAAACTTAAAATGTAATTTGCTTGTAAAACAATTTTATTTTTGTCACAATTTTGTTTGAACATCTCAGAAACCTTTCTGTTCATAATTTTCTCTGAAATATTTTAACTTCACTAAAATATTTACTGCAGATATAGTTGGCGCTTTGGTTTCTTAGATGAAATAACATAACTTACTATAGGCCAACATTGACATGTGATAGAAAGGAACTTTTTCTATTGTTAGTTTCACTTAGTTGGCCCTGTCTTTGATGCCCTATGTGATTTCACAGAGTTCCTGAACTACTTAGTCTTGCTTTTACTTCCTTCATTTCGTTGCGAGTTTTCCCGAGATTGTCTCCACATTTTTAGCTGTAGATGCCGGATAAAGGAAGCTTTTTACAGCACCCCCCCCCCCCCAACTTTCCACCTTCCCCCCCTCTGAGAGAAATGATAGTGATTTGATATGCTCCTTGAGTGCTTTGGGAGATTCCCCCTTCTTTCCCTTTTGTGTGCACTGGGAGCTCTGACGTAAAGGGGTTTCGGTTTGTGCCAGTGTGAAAGTTTCTTACTGGCTTATTTGCTTCTGGTGCTTTAAGAAGGAATCAAGTTGAATTATCTTACATGATGTATTATAGACATTGCGTGTGGGAATTTCAAATGAATTACGAGTCTTGTGAATCTAATTATTTTGTATGTCATTCTTTAAGTCATTGATACTTTTGTGTGACTATCAACTGGTTTCATATTTGCACTGTTACTGGAGCGGTGGCTCTTAAATACATAATATATTACTTATGTATTGACTGAAATCACCTATTTAGATGTTTTGTTTTGCTATTATTTTAGTGGGATTGGGGTTGGTTGAGGGTTTGTGTTTATTGGAATGTTGCGTGTGGGTGACTTTTTATAATGGTTTTTGATTCAGTAACTGGCATTTCCCCTGTTTGTTTTTGCTGTGCTGTGTGCAAAGATTGTCCCTATGATCTGTCTCGCTCTTCTACTACTATGCTCACTAAATAACTCTCGTCTATGCCAGAAATTAACATAGCGGAGGGACGGCGAGCAGGTCAGCCTGCTGCAGGCGCCGAGCCCAGTTCTCCCGGAGGACACTTTGAGCATCGCGGCGGCGAGTCGCTGTCGTCATCGTCTGCTGGTCGTCCCGTCGACGAGCCTGTCCTGTCGCCCACCAGCGCCCGTAGTCGGGGTCTGTACGCCCCTCCGCCCGGACCCCAAAGCCCCCAACAGAGTAGGAAACACGGTGGTTTCTACCAACAACAGGGGGGTGTTCAGGTTGGCGGAGGAGGGAGCAGCCCTCAAAGGTCGTCCAGAGGACCAGCGGTTTGGAGTCCACAGAATCAGAACAGCCGAGAGGAGCGTAGGATTCCCATAGCAGTAGAACACGCGTCTCCAAGCCAGCAACCTCCACTGCAGACTGGCCCCAACTCCGCCTCCCAGGGGATACCTATCAACCAGAGCGGCCGTCACCACCAGCCGAGGCAGAGACGACGTAGTGAAGAGGACACTTCTTCGTCATTTTCAGGACCGTCGCATTACCACCAAGCCCCTCCGGGATCAGCCAAACTTTCGTCTTCGTGGCAAAACACCCCCGGGGGATACTTCCCTTTCGACAGCCAAGCCGGCGTTAGTAAGGGAAGAGATTTGGGGCCCGGCTCCTACGCCACACTACCCGCCAAAGGCAGTCGTCAGCAACACCATAAGCATCAGCAGCACCGAGCTCATCAGCACCATCATGAGCATTTCGACCAGCACAACAACAGCAACAGCCACCAAAACCACAACCACCACTTCCAGGATGCCGGCAGACCAGCAGCCGACTTTGATCTGAGCAACACCTACTCCACGCTCCCTACCATCAAGCCTCTCAAGTCGAGCAGTACACAACACGCGTTCGGAGAAAGTACACGCCTTTCCGAGGAGAACAACAAAGCGGGTCTGAAGTCAAGCCAGAGCTACGACTTTGGACGCCGCGATTTAGAGCACACTCTCGACTACAAAGACTTCTCCAAGCCGCTCTTCGCGAACACGGATTTGGGCAGTCAGACTCAATCGTCGATAAGTAGCCAGGACGACGGACACTCGTCCCCGCATTCTGACAACGCCGTGTCCAGCTCCGACTCCAGAGACACAATTATTGCCAAGGATGAGAAGTCCTCGACCGATTCACTGCCCGTAGACGTCCCCATCGACGACATGCGCTCCCACAACAACAAGCCGCCCGCAGTGGCTCCCAAACCGTCCGGGAAGATGATCCCGATCACAGTCGTGCACGAGCAGCCATCAAAACCCCCTGGCTCTTCTTCCTCTTCCCAACAACTTCCGGGAATTATGGAAAATCTACCAACAGGGCCCAGAGGTAAACATGAACCACCGCCCCCCCCCCCTATCCCCCGCCCCGTCCCGCCCTCATCGGGGTTGGTTTGTCTGTATTGCGTGGCCGGAGCATGCGACCGTGGTGTTGAGCTGCGTGAACGTCGTATAGCCCTGTGCTTACGCTGACCGTGTTGAGCTATCTGTACGTCACAGACATACAACACAATGCAAGCGCTGATGGTGTTGGGCTATTTGTAGGTCATGAACATAATATAGCCCAATTAAATGCATGTTGTAATTGTGTGGGGGCTATTTGTAAGTCGCAACAGATATCCCAATGCATCATGCGTTAAATAATTTTGGGCTATGAGTACGGCATAGATAAATAGCCGAATGCATGCATCAATAGCGTTTCTTCAGTCATCTCCCATGTCCGTGGATTTACAGCGTGCGTCTCTGCTGCTGCTGCTGCTGCTGCTGCTGCTGTTTGCGCCCATTAACCTTCGACGTCTCTCGTGTCAAGTACTTTTTGATGTGTTCGTGCGAGCTGGAATGACCCCTGGATTGTGCTTGATCTTTTTCACTGGAATGACTCAAGGATTGTGCTTGCTCTCACTCAGTAGACTGACTCTTAGGTTGTACATGCATTCTTGCTCTATGAAACGGCTCTTCTCCGTTTTGCCCGCTTTCCGGGAGACTGCATGAACATAACTCGGTCTAAACTAAACAGTCTTTCACTCTCCACTGATCGTTTGCATTATGACAGTGTTGTAAGTACTCACACGGTAGGGAATAGGATTTTTCAGCGCTTGTGGTTTGGGGATTGTTGTTGTTGTTAGGGGTGAGAGACAGGAGGTTTTAAAAAAAATTAATCAGGTGCTTGTTTGTTTTGCGCAAGGACAATATCTTCTCCTTCTTTAACCATACTGTAGCTGAATGAACATCTTAGAGTGTCTACCAGTGATGATGCTTTTTTTCTCCTTTCTTATCAAGAAGTATCTAATGTTTTGGGTTTCCCCCAGAACAAAAACGACTTTTTTTGGTCTGAAAGTCTAAAAGTTGTTCCCTCATTACATGTTTAATTGATAATAAAAATGCTGAGGACTGAATTAAGTTAGATATTATGTTACAAGCACATGTCAAATTTCAAGGTCTCCTTCTTGACTTGCTTGTGTTCTAGTAGTGTGTTGATATGCCTAATCTGCATGTGCAGCAGTGTAGACGTAATGTATTGATGACGAGCAGGAATCGTGTGATGATCTACGAGGGGAAGTGAGTAGACCCTCATGAGAGAACACCACCGTGTGAGAATACCAAAGCATGCTTCATGGCTTGTATTAACAACACATCGTTGATATTTTCTGACGAGAACTGCTGAGTTTTTTGGGGGTTTTTTTTCAATTTTCAGGAATGTCAAACTGATGTGCTTGTATGTGTGTACGCGCGTGCGCTTGTGTCTGTATTTCATTTGACTTTTGTGGTTACAGGAATGCATCCATATTTTGACCAAAGACGCAGGCATAAGTAGTCTTATGTTAGGAAGCATACCCTTTTGACTATAATTTCTGGGTTATAAAAAATTATATTTTAGATTTAAATTTCATGTTTCAGTAGAATGGTATTGGTATTTGGGGCTCGGGGTTCCTGCTGAAGGTGAGAGTACTGTTTTATATAATACATTGATACTTTTTTGAAAGGCAAACTTATTAGATAATGGGACAATACAGATCGTTAACATTGAAGGGTAAATCGTCTATCTCCAAAGACTCTATTTTGCATTTATGAAGTTTTCACCAAAGTTCTTGCTAAAAGAATTTGAACCAATTATGCTTGCACCACTAACCAGAAGACCCCATAACAACTATCTTGCTACTAATATGTGGAGATTTATAAAATGTCAATCTATGTACATGTTTGCTTTGTGTTTACTATGAGATACACTAATTTTGTGTCATTTTCATCGTGAGTACATTTTAAAATGGAGATGTGTAAAAAAAAGTTTTACGTTCTTTTTTTTTCGCCTTTGATGCGCCTTTTATGTGAAATTAGTGCAACGCCATATATAATGATCTATTTGAAACGTTTACTGTATTGTGAATGCTCTTGTTTACTATTACTTTTAAAGAATTAGTTACACTGGGCGTGTGAAATGTTAACAAACACAGTGCTTTTTTTTATTTAGGTCTCACATACTTTGTTTCAAATTCTCACCATTATTTTGTATGCTCACTGTGTTCATAAATGACTCTGTACTTTGGTAATATATATGAAAATATCGTTTACAATCATGTAACAATCTAATATTTCAGACTCTTGCTGTCCCTGATTTGGGAGTGAAACTTATTATTTGATATCCTAAACAATACAATTTAGTTCTCTGTCCGCGCTGTCATTTTGACAAGGATAATTTCAATCTTGTCATGAATTTATTGTCTTTAACTTTTTTTTCTTCTTTCCTCTCGTTTCTCCAGATGGCCAGGATTCCTTCTCTACATTGCCCACATCGAAGCCTAGTCAGCCATATTCATTCTCAGGTCAGTTCGCACTGTGGCTTATCCTTGTGTGTGTTCTTTGGGATGTTTATCAATTGAATGTTTTTTTTAAATTGTGGGTTTTTGCCGGCTGGGGGGTGGGGTGGTAAACATTAGTTCATGTCCTGTCAGACGCATTTTGACCATTATGTTGCCTTTGGCTTGCCAATTAGTGGAAGGTTGAAGTTCAATTTCGTGTAAGGTTCGAATTTTCTCATTTTTCTCGTTTTCTACTATTTTAACTGATGCACAGATAAAAATCAACAATAAACAGGTTTTTAAACATAAAAATGAAAAACAGCACGTACATTAATATATACCTAAAAAGCATGATTATGGGTGACAACTCAGAATGGGAAAACACTTATTCTGCAAGTCGTATGAAAGCAATGTTATAAAAATGCGTTACGGCTACAAAGAACAAAACAAAACAAACGCAAAATGTCGTCGTATTACGGAATAGGTCAGTAGTGGTATTTCAGAGAGGCTTGGGTTCTAAGTGCTCCTTCGTCCAAATGATTTTAAGAATGTCTGGTGTTGCGACGAAAACAACAAATAAATCATAAGACTCTTCAGCTTTTCCGGACACAAAAATACCCTGTTCCCTGAGTGCTCTTATTGGAGACTCCGCGAAGAAAATAATATGGTCGTGAAGGTGTAGCGCGTAGCTTTATAGGATTCTCGGCTGAATCTTAACGAAGATAATTATAATCAAGGAGGCAGGCGAATTGCAGGTGTGTGTGTGTGTGTGTGTGTGTGTGTG